AGGAAAAGCTTTCATCTGATGTCCTTTCCCTCCTCAGAAGCTCAGTCTCCACAGACAGGAAAAATACAACAAACAAATCCAACACCATGGTGTTTACTGGGCTACACACTCATTCTCCTAGCCGGAGTCAATTCAGCCTAGAAAACCCAACTGGTGGGTGGGGAGTATTAGGGCTTGGAGATTAGGTATTCCTCCGAGAGAAACATGTGTTGAAGGCTTGGCCCCCATTATAATGTTCCCAGGGGAGGCTTTGGTAAAGTGACTTCAGCATGAGGGCTCTAACCTTATCATTTGATTAACATGGGGTTGGATTCACTGGGACAATGCCTTTGAAGAATGTGGTTTTGTTTCCCTCTGTCTCTCTGTCTCCTTGTGTCTGTCTCTCACTCCCTCCTTCCCCCCTTCCATTCCTGCTGTGAAGTATCTTCCTCTGCCCTGCCCACCTTACACAAGTCCTCAACAGTGCAGCTAGCTGACCATAGACTAAATTTTGAAACCATGAACCAAAATAAATATTTGCTCCTTTAAAAACATTTAATAATATTTTTTTAGTTCTTTTATCATAGAAAAAAAAAACTAGCACAGGAAATGACAGCTTGTAGGGACTGTCTTCTCAGCTGGCTCAGGTGAGGTAGTAGGCACAGTTAGTCAACTCTGCCTCCCAGTTGCTCTCTAACCTGGGCCCTTCATTGTCACTTTGGATCTTGAAAAGCTGCTGCTGCTCCTCTATGCCTTCTTGTACTACTCGTTACTCTACCTGGCCAACAAGTCAGACACCCAGAGCTATCCCTCACTCCTCTCCCTGCGACAGACCATCACCCACTGATGTCCTCACTCCTGTCTTCCCCATGCACTCTTGTTGCTGCCATGCTAAGTCAAGCTCCTAGAAGCTCTCTGCCGACCAGGGCAATCCCTCTGGTCTTGGCTGAGATGCTGAGAAAACTGGACATCCACATGAAATGGAGTTCTAGGTGATCTAATGCCCTCTTCTGACCTCCAAGGGCAGCTGCATGCCCCTGGTACACAAACATAAACTTGGAACCACACAAGTATACAAAAATCAACAAATAGTGTAAACCTTTAAAAAGGGCCAATAGAAGAGGCATTTAACACCGGTCATCATCAGAAAAATGCATATCAAAGGCACAATAAAGTATTACCCCCCACCCTTACAATGGCCATTATCAAAATGACAAGATACAGAAACTGGCAAAGGCCTGAGTGTTGGAAGTTGGTCTGATGCATGTTGCAAGCCCTCAGGATCTGGTACACCTATCCATGTTGTATAAATCTACCTGATTGTCTAATTAAATGGCCTGTACCTGAGCAGGGCAGAATGGGGTATGAGTGGCTAAGGCTCCTGGGCTTGGAGAGGACAGAGAGAATCACGAGGAATGGATAGGAAGAGAGGAGGAAGAAGGACACCACATGGGTTAGCATGGAGAAGAAACCACGTGGGCCATAAGAAAGGACTCCAATAATAGCAAAAGGCCCAGATGAAGAATACAAGCAAGTACCATGGATTATGCATGAAAGGTAGACCAGATGAGGAGGATTAAGATGGATGGCATTGGATGGGGACTGGGAGATGGATGATAAGGTGATTCAGACATCATAGGTAAAGTATCTGCCTGGCCCAAGGTAAATACTGCAATTATAAATCTAACAGGTGTCTGTGTCTTATTATTTGTGATAGCAGGTTAAATAATACCACTGTGATAATCATAGGGCTAATAATAATCATTATATAGCCCAACCCTCATTTATTTTTTTAATTTACTCCAACACCTGAGCAAAGGACCCTCCCTAGTGGAGGCTGGAATATCATCCCTGGTTTTTCTGCCTCTAAATAAATGCTAGGGTCTCACCTAAACTGTTCTCCCTTCACTCAGTCCCTTCCCTCTCCACCAGTCCCGGCCTGGACAAATCCTAATTATCCTTAAGGCTCTTAGTTCACATCACTTGTGCAGAAAACAATCCTTCCCCCAGCAAGGTCAGTGTCCTCCTTCCATCCTCTATCTGCCGCTGGCTAATCGCCTCCCTGTGGTTTCCACGATGTGAAGCCTGGTCTGACCACTCCATAGTTGCAGCAGGAGCAGCCAGCCCAACACCTGGCACACGGCAGACAGGGCCCTCTACAGACCTACAGACACGTCTGGACTGCAGTACGTGACCATCAGCAAGATGCACTCCCCAGCAGGGAGGAGACACACAAGCACACGGAAACGGCAGAACAGCAGAGACCAGTGCACAAGGTGCTCCGAGGACACACTTGTCAGTGATGTGTTCCCAGAAGTGGTGTTTAAGCGGGACATGGGGATTTGGGACTCTGGGATATATCTGATTCCAAGAAGGATGCTGGGGAAGGAGTGGCTAGCCAAAGTCCACACAGCCCTGCAGTGTGTAAGTCTCAGGAAGATGTGGCTATATCTGACACGCTCATTGCTGGACTCCAGCATCCAATTCAGCGTTTTAACTGAGCTGACTGAAGACTGAGTGAATGAATGAAAGAGGACCTGGGATAACAGAAAGTCTCTGATATTGGCATCCAAAAGGTTTGATGGGCAACAAGGAATTTGGAGTCCTGTAAGGCAGGAACTTTTTTAATCCCCAGAGAACAAGTATCCTGCTTGTCAGCTTTAATATACAAATAGCAGTGTGCAGGCTGACTATGTGCAGCTCCTCTTCATCATGACCTCGTCTGTCCCTCCCGTCTGCTCTTACCTCCTCATGCTTGCATGGCAAGCTTTTTATCTACCCAGCCATCTCCCTAGCTGTGTCTAGCATTTTGTATTTGACTCTTAAGATCATTTGAGCTACTTCAGAATATCACATGAAAACCACTTGCATTTGTTTTTATTGTCACTGACAAATGTTCACTCTGAGAACTTAAAACATCTTTAAACAGAAAGCAAGTGAATTCTTTCATGTGAGACCTCACCCTGGCAGACAGACTGTTCCCGACACACTCACGCTAATTAGTGAAATTGTCAGGCACAAGACAACTGGAAGTACAGAGCAGGCATTGTTTGTTTTTGTGAAAAGAGGAAAACGGGACTGTGCCTGCCTGTAGTCAGTCCAGACAGTCAGCACAGGGAGGTGAGAGGCAGGTGGCTCTGAGGCGAGCTGGGCCAGCTGAGATGTAACAAGTCATGCATAATGACACAAAGATCCATTTAAAGGCAGGTAGGATGGCTCCTCTGGCCAACCCAAGAGCCTGGTCCAACTCCATGGTGGAGTATCATCCTTTGACCTCCACATGTGTGCCTGGCACACACACACACAGACAGAGAGAGAGAGAGAGAGAGAGAGAGAGAGAGAGAGAGAGGACACAATTAAAATTTTAAAAGGAAATGCATGTTTTAAGTGGCTAGAATGCTAAATTCTGTTATAAATGTTTTAACACATGAAATGATCAAAATATTTTAAAACTTTTAAAATGTGGTGCACACTGGTCATTTGGCATCATCTCTTCATAGTGGACAACATGCCCAGTTATTGGGCCCATGAAACTTCTACTGAATAAGATAGGAGCTGTATCCAGAGTTAATGGAGTTATGCAGAGCACAGAAGCCCACAACAATCAGCCCATTTTTTCCCCTAAGCTCAAGCATCCCCAGAGAAGCCTGTGCTGGGTTTGTGGCTCGGAGAGACATGTCCCCTTTGCCCATGAGTCCTGCACGGTCTAGCTCTAGCTCTCAGCTCCAGCTTCTACATTGTAAGCAGGATCTAGGCAGAAGGCAACGGCAGACTGTGGGTGGCTCACTAGAGCAGCATTACCCGGGAGTTAAGAGCTGTTGGCATCAGGCACTGCCTAAGTACTCAGAGCCGTCCTTGGCTAACAAGTTCTGAGCAGAGGCATCCTGTCTTCCTCCTTCCTGCACTCATCCCTTAGGAGGCCAGGAGAGGCCTCTGTATCCCCAGGAAGCACTGGACCACTCTCCTACCATCACCCTCACCCATCACAGGCAGTAGGTACTTTGGACTCAGTTTCCTTCCAGGTCTTGATCAATGCACTGTTCCCTAACCACAGTCACTGCTGGCTCTGGCCATATGTGCCAGTAACTACAGCCTCCTACCGGGCCTCTGAGCCTCCTCACCCTTCCCATTCCAGTTTGTTCCCTTTCCATTACCTACTCATAACCCCTCTGACTATGGATTTGGCCCCACCATTCCCTGCTGCTGTGCTCCTGTTCTTTTAAGTTTGAAGTGAGCAGCTCCTTGCCTTCTTCCTCATGAGCCTCCTTACCCACCTTCCTCACCCATGTGGCTCATTCCTGCTCCCTCGTGGTGCCAAAGCCTCCCAGTTACTTCAGAGACACTGCTCCACCTGGAGGCCTCTTATGTTTTCTCATCCTCTCTCTAGGACATCTTCTCTCCCAGCCTTCATCACCACTACCTAAACCTCACTCACCCTTGGGAGTCTCAGGTAAGAGGCCCCACCTTCTGGGAAACCTTTGAGCTCACCCTACCCTGCACTAACCTGAACGAACACGCTTCTTTGCCAAGCCCACCTAGCAAGTATGTTGTTGTGCTGGGATTATAAGCCATTCTTTCTTGTTTCTCACACAGCAAAGCAAACTGGAAGACTGAATGAATATTTAGAAAAAAAAAAAAAAAAAAAAAGGAAAAACTCAAGAGTGAGGTAGAGTTTGTGAATATCTTGGAAAGATACCAAAATGTGTAAAATGAAAGCAGCAAGCTACAGGACCATACATATAGTGTGACCCCATGAAAACCACCGGCAAGCACAGCTAGTAAGATGCATGTATGGTTTTTGGAGCAGAGAACAAAGCCTATACAAGTGCAAACTGAGCTGTCAACACTGGGTAGTGGGAAGTTTGCGTTTGTTATGTAGTACTTATGTTCTAAGAAAGTGAAAGGTGCCCACAACCTTTCCCCATGAATATGTAAAGCCCTTGAGCCCTCAGGAACCACCATGTCAGAGATGGGATTTCTAAAAGGAAGATTTCTGAGAGCAGCTGCAGCAGTCACCTTACCTTTCCCAGCAGCTCAGGCAGGCCCAGCAGCTGTCCAGAAAACACGCCAATGCAGATGAAGATGGCAGTCACCTGGCCCAGAGAGCCCCGGATCTCCTTGGGCGAGATCTCATTGAGGTACATGGGGAGCGCACTGAGGGCGATGCCTGAGGACAAGACACAGATGTGAGAGAAGACCCCTGGTTCACACGCAGTCACCTGATGGGCACTTACAGACGCTGCTGTGCCTTCTGTCCTTTACACCAAGGCCGTGGGAGAGCACTCCTTAGCTCACAGCTACGATAACTGCCATGGGGAAGAAGCAGCATGGGTCATCGCCATGAGTGGTGATGGCACTTTAAATGAGAAATGTCCATTTTAGGCTTGGGTAGTTGAGCATTTATCCACCAGTTGGTGGTGCTGTTTGGGAAGGTTTAGGATGGTGTAGCCTTGCTGGAGGAAGTACATCACTGGGGCCAGGCTCTGAGATGTCACAGCCTTGTCCTACTTCCAGCTTGTTTTCTATGTTTTGTGCTCCTGATGTGAGCTCTCAGCTTCCTGTGTCTGCTGCCATGCTTGCTGCTTGCTACCATGTCTCTCCACCATCACAGACTCTTCCCCCACTGGAACCGGAAGTTTATTATATGATACACTCCTTTCCTAATACTTTTGGTCGTTGTTTTTTTTTTGTTGTTGTTGTTGTTGTTGTTTTTGTGTTTTTTTTTTTTTGTGTGTGTGTGTGTTTTACCACAGCAGTAGAAAGTACCTAATGCAGTGTGGTGTTAACTTCCCTAGCTCACCAGTAAGTATAGTGGAGGTAAGAGCAGACAGGAGGGACAGATGAGGTCATGGCCACCCTGTATTAAAAGCACATTTGTGCTTCGTATTATGAAAAGAAACTGCACATTCTCAGCGTGCACACACTGTTATTTTTTCTTAGTTGGCCTTTGACTTAGAAGGTGTCTTTAAAGGAACGGGAGATGCAGTGGCTTTGTGAATATGTGACCCTCCACTAAGTAGAAGACGATAATGAGAAGAAAGTGCAAGAGGCCATAGGAGAGAAACACCATGAATCTCAGAGACAAGGCTGAGCCCTACCCAGCGGGTCAAGGCTGAACTGCGGATGACTAGCTGCCTTTATTCAAATTCCCTATAAAATATGCTAGATGCAGACAGCCCAGAGAAGGTAGATTATTTGGGGGTGACAATCTATTATTAGATTGTCATCTCTCTGAAAAAGTATAGTTTGAAGATTTAATTTCTTCATCTGCCCACTGGTGTTTCTAGTTGTGGGCAGCACAAGCCACTGTAGCCTGGATATACAGACAGGGGAGCTATCAGCATTATGGAAGTGGGAACACAAATTTAATGTGAATACATATATATGGATTGGCAGAGTTACTGGCGCATATTCAGCTGTTAGTTTATGGTGACTGTGGCAAAACCGGTGGTAAAGGAGGAGGTAAGTTATATCGTAAGCCTACGATCAGGCCCCTGGTGCATCCTGGCTTGCCTGGTACCATCTGTCCAGGCTGGTTTGTCACTCACTAAGCATCCCCACTCCTAAGGAGCCTTGTTCAACTTCCGACCCTATTCCCTGGCATCAATCCTTCCTAGACATGTGAACCTCGGGGCTCAGTGAGCGCTCTAGCCCACTGTGCTCTAGGGGACTGATCTTTGTTCTGTTTGTTTCAAACCCTTTATCCTCAGAGATCCCAGGCTGATGTCCACCTATCCCTCATGTTTCAGTTCAACATTACCTTCTACAGTAGGAGGTGGAGTTGTGTCTTCCAAAACATGTTCAGTCTATCCTCACTTACCCATGGGTCTGACATTATTTGGCCACCTTTACCAGGGTCTTTACCAGTATTATGGTGTCTGGATGAGGTGATAAGGGATTTTAGATGGGCCCAAGCCCAGTGCTGAGATTTTATAGGAAGGCCACTTGAGGGTACACAGACCCAGAAGAAAGAAGATCATGTGCAGATGAAGAGTTAGAGCGGGACAGCATCAAGTCAGCGACCGCCAGGAAACTATTCTGGGGAGCACCAGAAGTTGAGGACAAGGGCATGAACATGGTCTCCATCAGAGCCTTGGAAAGGAATCAGTCTTGCTAACTAACATCACGTGTGCATGGTGTTTTGAATGTAAAACATCTCCACAGACTCACGTGTTTGAAACTTAATCCCCAGCTAGTGGTGCTGGTATGGAAGGCTGTGGAAACTTTAGAAAGCCGAAGATCGCTGAGGCGGCCTTGGAGTTTTATAGACTCGCTCTACTTTCTTTTCATTCTCTGCTTCCTGACTGGGAAGGCAATGAGACCAACTGCATCATACTTCTGCAGCCTTGCCTTCCTGCCAGAAAGGTCCGTGTCTGCAAAGTGCAAGCCGAGCCCTTCTTCCCTTCATGCCCATCTGATAGGTATTTGGTCAAACAAACGATGTAAGTTTTTTGGGCTCCTGGATTCTATGAGAGTAATCATGGCTAGTGTTTTTTAAGCCACACAGTTTATGGCATTTTGCAACAGTAAATATAGAAAACTAATACACCTCCTCAATGCAACCTTCCTCAACCAGCTCTTCCATCCCCTCCGTGTCTTCTCCCTGGCTGGTGTTCCTCATAGCAGTCAGCACTAACTGGAGTACAGTTTTCCCATGAGGGACACACTGCAAGACCTTCATTGGATGCCTAGAACTGTGTATAGTAACAGACCCTACACAGATGTGGGTTTTCCCTGTATATGAATGACTATGGGAAATTCAACTGATAAATCAGGCACAGAATGATTAGCAACAACAATAATTTACAAAATAGAAAATAATGATGATATGCTGTTTAAAAACATTACTTTAAATTTGTAATTTATTTCCAGTGAATAATTTCAGAAATGGAAACCACGGAGCTGCTGCTGTAGCCAACTGGCATGGCTTGTGACCTGGGGAACTCCTACTATGGCTGGACATGGTGCAGGCATAACCTTTCCAGAGCTGCCCACACTCCCTATGGCGCAGTTCCCTGTCAGCCACAAAATTCCTACTTTGAATTCTGCAATCTATGTGACTTTGTCTCCAACGCCATATTGAATCATATTTATTTCTGTATAAAAAAAAAGCAGTATGTTGATGTTTCTCCCAAACTCCTAGAAAAAAAAAAAAGATGTCCTACATTTCTAATCTGATTCAATCGCTCTATGAGCAATTGAATTAATGGATTTTATTAGTAGATCTTTTACCTATTAATAGATCTTTCTATTTCTAAAATGTTCAGGATTAGCTTCATTTTGAAGCAGGGTCTCAAATAGACCAGGCTGGTCTTGATCTCAATATGTAGTGAAGCATGTCAAGGATGACCTTGAACTTCTGATCTTCCTGCTCCTACCTCCCATGTGGCATGTGCCATCATACCTGGTTTTCCATGGTGCTAGGGACTGAGGAGTTGGTGAATGCTAGGCAAGCACTCCAGGCTACTGAGCTGCATCCTCCAGCCGTGGATTTAAATTCTGTCTTATGAAGCACAAAGCCGACCTAGCCCATTCCTAGTAGTTTTCCTCTCTTCCTGTACAACTTCCTTACCTTAGATGCCCTCACTCTTTCTCTCCCTGCTCTCGGGGTTTGGTGAGAATAAAGGACATGAAGTCTCTGGGCCCTGGCATCCCTTCAAAAGGCTGTGTTCCAGGAGTCATCGTGTGTTTAAAAAATTTCCCTATTCTTCCTTTTCTTTTGCTTCTTTCCAAATAGCTCACAGGAAAGGGGCCTAAAGGCATTTATTCTGAGTCTGTGGCTGTGAAAGAGTCACATTCATCTGCGAACAGGGATATTCAGAGAGCAACAAGTACAGCGCAAGTCAGCGAGTCAGTCAAAGCCAAGGGGAAGCAGCTGATAAATACAAAACCCTCCAGAGAGAGCAGAGGTTTCCCCGGAGAGGCTGGTAGGCCGTTCCTAGCTACCCAGCCTTCCTCTGTGTGGGTTCCAATCCTGGATCTACGCTTTACAAGCTTAGAATTAAACATACAGCAGCAGCACTCACGACAAGACTATCCCCCACCATCCCTGGGGGTGGGTGCAGGCAGGCTTGAATCCTGCTAGATGAAGGATTTTTACCCACAGGATAATCATTCTGGCATCATCCAACCAGGGCAGCCTTGCTATTTGGTTCCTATGAAGCAGCAGGAGGAGAATTGGACAGCAAGGAAAGCTTCAGTGCTTGTCCCCACTGCAGACATCCCCAGCTGGATCTCTAACTGCTCTTCCCATCCGCTTTGCTTTGGCCCGAGTGACTGTGACTATGGTATTGTAAAGTGTTTGCACCTGAGGGCTTCTTCCTGCTGCTGTCCTCTGGAGCCCGTGGAATTCTGTGAGAAGAGCTCCCAGATACTCTGTTGGGCGAGGCCCGTCTCTCTATGATTTCTATCTCAAATCGAGCAAGAGAACCCGAACTGAGCTGACAACATTAAGAGAGTAAATAACACAGGCAGGTGGGATGGCTCAGTGGGTAAAGGTGATTGCTACCAAGCCTGATGACCTGAGCTTGATTCCTGCAACCCACATGGAGGAAAAGAATCTAATCCTGCAAACCAGCCTCTATCACATACACACAGTGGCACACAGCTTACTTCTAATATGAACAAAAGTAATTTTTAAAAAAGTAAGAGTTAAGGCACTTAGAGCTGATTGGTAATACTGAGGCTTAGAATCTTTGCTCTGCTGAGCAGGTTTAGGGCAAAAGCAGTTTGTTCTGATAGTAACTTAAGTCTGTAATCTCACTCCCTTGGCAGAGTCTGGCCATTCCTCTCTGCCTGCTCTGCCACGCAGTCTTGCCAGTGTCATATAGGCTGTCCCTCATCATCCCTATCCCACTCCTGGATCCACCTCACACTCCATATCCAAGTACCCATGGAGTAGCACTGACTCATAATCCAGTCCATGCCCTGCCCTTCTCAGCCCTTTCTGGCTCCCTCTCATTCTCAGCACAAACACTTGGTCCTAACTGTGGGCTGCACCATCGTGCCCTGGTTCCCTTTCAGCCTCAGGTCCCACAATTCCCTCCTCACCAAGCTCCAGGCCCCTCAGCCCCTCACTCTTCCTCAGAAATGCCAATCACCTTCTACCTCAGGACCATATCACTCTCCTCTCCACCGAGAACCCAGTTCCTCGGATTTTTACTCAGCTCTCAATCTCTGTTCACTCTGGTCTCTGCTCACATTTCCCAATACTTCTAACTGGTTTTCCTAAAAGCCTTCTTGCTAGCCCTTTGCCCTGTCAATATGGCGCAATCTCAATTAGAGCAGCTCTCAATCTCAATTAGAACTTTACATAATTAAATGCCTTTTGTCGCCAGCATATGGAACACAGGGAACACCCAGTATTCTAACACTTGGTGAATGAATGGAAGAATGTGCAGACAGATGCCCAGAATCGCTTGATGAGCTTGCAGCTTACCACCTAGAGTACAGACTTTCTAAAGAAGGTGGTGGAGGGAGGCATAGCACACTGTAAGACATCAGGGGCTTTGGTAGTGACTCAGCTCTACCCAGCCTGGTTTTCTCAGGCTGAATGCTACAGCACTGTGTAGGGAAGGGTATAACACCACAGAATGCCCCACTTTCTGTGGGATTCTAGAATCTCGGCCTCCCCCAGGACTACCTCAGCCCCAATCATCTCTTTCCATCCAGACAAGCCCTGGGAGCATTACTGCCTTCCTCCCCAACTGGGGTGAAACCTCACCTCCATCCACGCCCATGATGAACCTTCCCACAATGAGCATCTCAAAGGTTCCTGCGGGGAGTGAGCAGGCCATCAGCAATGCTGAAGAAATTGCAAATCCATTGTTGACCAGCAGCATGTACTTCCTGGAAGGAAAAGTGACTTGATGAGGGCAATGCACTATGAGGCATGTTAGTGTCCTGCCCACCCCAAAACAGAGAAGCCAGTTCCTTCAGAAGGTGGGGTGAACATGGGCTGAGGAACTGAGGTCATGGGCCTACCCCACACTCCCTTGCTTGGCTGTGGGGCCTTGAGCCTGGCATCCACTGTCTCCAGGTTCACAGTGGGGTAGATAAGGGGTACTGCTTGTGCTAGGATTTGATTTCATCAATTCTGGGTTTTGTTGAGCTTTTTTCTTCTTTCGAGACTGGGCTTCTCTATGTAGCCTTGGCTATCCTAAACTCACTTTGTAGACCAGGCTAGCCTCAAACTCACAGAAACCCAACAGACTTTGTCTCCCAGAGTTCTGGGATTACAAGAGTACACCACTATGCCCAGCTCTTTATTTAATAGCATTTTTATAGACAAGTTATAATGCAGGAGCTAGCATTTGAGCAGAAAGCCAGAAACCACTCAGTATTCTAGTGGACAACTATTAGCTTATGGAGTCAGATAAACCATGTTAGAAGAATGATTTGTGTAAAGACTCTTTGAAAAGGGGATGCTCATCCTTGAAGAGATAGCTCAGAGCAGTACTGCCCACTGGTGCTGCCTCTCTGGTGGGTACTTCATCTGCTTCTGGGGGTTGGACAAAAGCTGGAACCAGTAGCCAAAGAAACTGAGGCAAACAAAAACAGCCAGGAAGCATGATGCCCAGATAACAGCTGGACAGCCAGCATGGCATCCTATTGTTCTAGCTGGCAGCCTTTACCCTCCGTTTCTCTTTCCTTCTTCCCTGCCTCCCTTACTTTCTCCCTGTCACACAATAAAACAGCCATATTTCTTAATACTTGACAGGCACCTTGGATTTAATGAACTACAGTTTTAGATGTAATACTGGATTGCAACCATCAAGCAAAGCCAGACAGATTCCCCTGGCAATCGTTGCTTTTACTGCTCTGTGTCAGGACCGCTGTCTGGCTCAGTAATGTGTCCCTGGGCCCTCACAGTTGAGATTCATGCCTCTCTTGGGGGGGCTGGGTTCCTGCATTGGCTCTGTCTTTGAGGAGTTAGGAGGCTGTGTTTTCTTTTCCTCACTTGCAGGACCAACCCAGCAGCTTCTTCCATTCATTCAGGGCCTCACTGTGTGACGGGCCCTAGTCTAAGCACCAGACATGACTGGTCTTCTTAGAATGTAGAACTGTCTTCTGAGGTAAGTGCTCCTACATGCTTATGTCATACAAAGTTAACCAGAACTGCTGTTGGCAATAAAATGGTGTTGGGCTAAATAATGTTTATTATTTGCCTTATAATTATTATGGCAGTATTATCTAACCTGCTCTCACAATCAGTAAGACACAGACACCTGTTAGATCTTAAAATTGCCTTATAACACCTTGGGCTGGGCAGATATTTCTACCTACACTTTCTCAATAACCTCCCAGTCTGAATCCCATGCCAACTGCCTTAACCATCCTATCTGGGCTGCCTTCTATCCATAATCCTATAAATACTTGCTTACATTTTTCATCTTGCTGTTTTTTATGCCATTCTTTGAGTCCTTTCTCCTGGCCCACATGGTTCATCCCCCACATTAACCCATCGTGGTGTCCTCCTTCTTCCTCTCTTCCTATCTGTTCTGACTTTTTCCCATGATTCTCCTGCCCTCAAAGCCTGGGGATCTTAGCCACCCCTCCCTCCTTTCTCCCTGCCCAGGTACAGGGCCTTTTTTATTAATCAGGAGTAATGTCTTAGGCAGGTTTATAAAACAAGGATGGGGCAGTAACCAAATCTTGAGGGCCAGTAATGAGCATCAAAATACAGGCATCAGACCAACCCCCAACACAGGACCCTGACATGTTAGAAACCTGCTTTGAGTCATGAGGTTAGGCTGTCAAAGAGTTTGGGAAGCAGCCTCTCTCCCCACTTCCACCAGTCCCCTCCCTCCCCCAAAAAAGACAGTAAGTGAATTAAGAGACACTAAGTTGCTTTGTAAATTATGAGAAGTGAGGGCTTTTCCAGGGAGACTCAATATTCCCTTTAACATTTAAGACTTCTCGAGCTGCCAGGTGCAGTGGCACACGCCTGTAATCCCAGCACTCAGGGAGGCAGAGGCAGGAGGATCTCTGTGAGCTCAAGGCTAGCCTGGTCTACAAAGCGAGTCCAGGACAGCCAAGGCTACACAGAGAAACCTTGTCTCAAAAAAAAAAAAAAAGTATTGAGCTCTCGGACAGCTGCCTGTGTCTTCCGCTTCATGTCAGCATTGTAGCTAAGTTTCCTCCCTGACTACATCTTCCTGGACAATCTCACAGTTGCTGGCTTTTGCAGCCGTCGCCATGGTACCAACATATTCACAATGGCATCCTACAGCAACCGATGGCTAAAACAGCAAACTAAGTTCTAGCCTGTTCACATTGTGCTGTTTACATTGTGCTGGCATTAAATCAGGGGTAGCTTTCTGTACTCTGAAGTGGGAAGAGCTCCAAGAGAGAAATAAAAAGGCCAAAGTGCAGAATTTGGTGTAAACTAATTTGGTGATCTGTGTGGAAAAGAAGTGTGGTTATGTTCATGGATGAGTGTGTGCGTAAGTATGTATGTGTACGTATATTCATGTCTTTGTGTGCACCTGGTGTGTGTGTGCTCCTGCTAGGCACCAACCTTAAGAAGACACTCAAACTTGTAGGACTGGGTGTCTCCAGAGAGGACTGAGAGACTGGGGGGCAAAAGTGAAAAGAGAACCCTGAACTTTGTGTCCATTAGGCCCTTTAGAAAGCAAAGCCACATGGATGTGCTAATGAGCCAAAAATGATATGATTTTATTTTTTTAAAACCTAACTTACACAGACCGTATGATGGAAATACAGTTATGTCAGTGATAAACCAAGATGGCTAGACATGATTACAGTGTGTGTAGTGTAAATGGTGTGGACGCCCTAGATGAAGGGACAATTTGTGTCCCAGGACAGAGCAGGACGGCATGAAATTCATCTCTCTATTCAGAACAGCAATTATTCCAACATTTATCAACTATTTGCTTCTGGATTTTTTTTCCATTTATATTTCATAATACAGCTTACTTCAGATAACTGGAATCAAGGAATGTGAAATCCTAGATAATAGAGACTATTATGCATAACCAAGACAGTGTCTATCATTTGCCTGTTTCCTTTCCCCTTTCTCTGGCATTGGTATGAAAGGCCTCCCAAGGGCGGGTGGAGAAGGCCAGTCACAGGGTTCCCCCTCACACTCTCGTTGCTCCCATTACTGAGGGAGCATCTCCTATATGGATCCAGCTGTGGTCCTAGCATCTGCCTTGCAGTGTGTGGCGCTGGCCTTTGGATTACAGTAAGGCTGCCTCTCCATTTTGACTTTCCAATCCAGAGAAGGGAGATGCTTGACTGTAAAAATGGGAGGGGGGATATTTCTTGCAAGCACAATTTTCTCCTTGTATTAATTCATGGTCTCTGTCTTATCCTTTAAGGCCTCACAGGCCCAAGCCTATTAATAGAGTCTTATCAGAGAGGCTTGTCAGAGGCGATGGTTCTCAGATCTGGCAAAAACAGTGTGCCCTCACTCTGTGGACAGAGGAATAATGAGCCTGATTAGCAATCAACCCTCAGCTCACTTGCAGATACCACCTCCTCCTCCATGACATCACTACCATTAAAGTGGATGTTTGGAGCTAGAGGATGTGAGAGAGAAAGCCATCAAGTAACTTCTGTGAGTGCCTCTCAAGCTGGGCTGCTCCTCAGATTCACCAATAGCGCTTACACACAGTCACCTGACATGTAATGTCAGTGATGTATGCTCGGGAATTCACGATTAACTGATGACTTTGTAGGTGACAAGCAGAGGGCTGAACCATGAACTAAGTGTCTCGGGTGCCCCCTGCTGACAACCCCTTCGGCCACAGTCGCTCATACGGAAGTCGCTCATGCAGAAACCTCGCCAAGCCCCTAACTGCAAACACGGAGCTTCACTGTGGAGCAGGCAGTCTTAAAGACTATGTATTCACTGTATAAGATACCTTATGAGTTAGATAATGTTTTAAATGTATGGGTATTTTGTTTGTGTGTATGTCTGTGTACTACATGTATGCCTAGTACCCACATAGGCCAGAAGAGGTAATCAGATCCCCTGGGACTGGAGTTACATTCAGTTGTGAGCCACAATGTGGGTGATGGGACTTGGACCTAGGTTCTCTGGAAGAGCAGGGAATGATCTTAACTACTGAGACCTTCCACCACCTTCAAGGTGGATAATCTTGAGGAAACAGACTTGCAAGTATCTTAGTCAAGGCCACACTACTGCATGCTGATCTAGAACACCAGTGACCATCTTGCTTGCGAGGTAGCTCCCATATTCACTCATAGACATTTATTCATTCAGCAAACATTCACAATGCAGGACTGAGTTCTAAGCACCAGTCTATATTCTGGCTTATGGGACAAACACAGTGACATCCTTATTCTTAAGTCTTCTCAATAAGCAACACAAGACATGTGGCATGCCAGTGATGACCAATGCTAAAACACATGAAGCACAGAAGGGGCTATAATTTTACAGTGACCAAGAGGGTGTGACTGGGAAGGTGGCGTGTGAGCAAAGGTGTGAAGGAGGTATGGACAGCTAGCCAGGAAGAGCACTCCAGGTAGAAAGAAATAAACATCCAAATAGCATCACTGAGTTCAGTGTGGCTGAAGAAGTTGAGGACCAGGGAGGAGGTAGCAGGCAGGTGGAGAAGAGTGATGGAGCAGCTCCTGAGGGGTGTTCTGGGCCAGCAGGAGGTGTGGGGTTTCTACCCCTGGGGAGGGGGGTAGCCACAGAAGACAAAGAGAGGATGGACTTGGCCAGACTTCTAACAAGACAGCTCAGTCTTCTTAGCTATTCACGGCCAGGAGGGGGCGGGATCGAGTGTGAGCAAATGCTGCTGTCATTGTAGACCAGGCTGGGAGCTAGGTAGGTTGTGAGATCCCAGCATAGTTTG